AGAAAGACTATAATAACACATCATTATTGTCCTAATGTTATGTTGTAAGCTATGATTTTTTATCTAATTGATAGATCTCCAGTATATATAATTTATTTATATATTTATTTAGTTAAACATGTACTACATAATTTAATACAATTTTCATCAAAATGCAGGCCTGCAAACAGTACTTCACATTTCTTGAACTCTGTCCTTAGTTTATTATTTCTTAAAGTACAACTCAGTTGGCAGTGGAGTCTTAACACTGACAAAGCTGGGTGCACTGGAAGCAAATGCATTTCCTCCATCTTCTCTTCTTCCTCATCTGTCACATGCTTGCAACTAGCATGTCTTCTAATGTAAGGTTTGAGGTTTTCACGGCGGTGACTATGAAGAATGCCATTTTCTGGGATGTGGTGTCATGTAGATATTGTGTTAACAGACGTTTCAGAGGAATGTATCGCATCCATCTGCTTATGCTGGTTTATTGCTCGTGGATTTCTTATACCCTGAAGTTGGAGGTGATACTTTCCTCCGAAATGTTGGTTAACACAATATCTACATGGCATCACATCCCAGAAGATGACATTCTTCAAGTCTTCTAATAATCGGTGGTTGGGATAGGTTTGTAGACATTGAGAAACTGATAAAAATTACTGGGAAAATCCATGCAACCTTGAAGTTCTACCCTCTCATCGTTTTCTTCAGCTTCTTTGTTGCTGACTTTTCTTAGAGTTCCAACACCATATTTTGCAAACCAGTTCTTGATAACTACAGGAATGACGGACATGGCAACACTATACGTGGCATCCAGGATGTTCCATTTCCTAACTTCTGCTGCAGGAAATTCCTCTCAATTTCTTATAATAAAAGATTCTCAAGAAGTGGTTCCAAGTAACTGGAGGTGTTCAGCGGCAAATACAATAGGCATACATGCTTCAGATTAAGGCCTCTGTCATTGTGAGGAGAACACTGACCTGGTATTGAAAGGAATTTCCTGTTTTGGCAAGCCATTTCCTTTAAAAACAGACCAGCCACTCCATGAATATTCTTACAGTTACCTATGCATTCTTAGAAGATTTACAGTTGCAAGGATAGTGCTTTAAGCCTTCAAGCAGTATGGTTTTTCAAAGTTTCTGACAATCAAAGGACAAAGATTTTCACTGCCATCTGCATTATAACACACCAGAGCAATCACTCTGTCCTTATACTCCCTGTGACCATCCACTGCAATATTGTTAACTCAGGTATTGCAAAACCATTTGAACAGTTCAGTTTCTATACCACAATGTTTATAACATCACACGTTGTCATCTGTTTTGGAAGAGCACACCCATCTAAAGCTTGTTGTTCAGTTGAATACTAATTCTTTTTAGATGCATCCACAGAATGGAAAGTGGGATTGCATTTGCTTATGCTATTTTACTTTTACTTCTTTCTTGTGTATCATCTCCCCTAATCACTTGTGGTTTTTGAGCAACTGTCTTTCCTGAGTATTTTCTCTACTTTGCACCCATGTTTAACCCTAGTGGATAGACTAAAAAATGAATACCTATTGTCAAAAGGATTCGACTGAATGTACCTGGCATTTACACATCTCTAACACAATGGTTATTCTTTGTGACCCATACTAAACAATCGTAGTGTTCCCACACAGCTATGAATTGTTGTCTCTCACACAAAGACCTGCTACTTAAATTGGCGACATGCTGAAGGCCACCTGCATTCTTTCACAGCCAGAAGAATTTCAGAAAGCACAGAATAATACTCAGCTATTTTTAATTAGCATCAGTTCCACTAAAATAGTTTAGAATTATTAAGATTTTAAGGCATACCTGGGCTGGAATGCAGCATGGATTTAAAAGATAACCATATTACAAATTAAGAAGTGCTTTGAATTGATTAGTATCAAATTAACAAGGTTTTACTGTATAACGTAGTTTCAAATGTTATGTAGGTTGTTTGGTGTAATCTCTTCGTATAATAGATTTGTCAGATTTAGTTGCTACCATTCTTTACTTACATTCATTTTAATACAAATGTGATGCAAGTAGGTGATACAGTAATGACCCATGTGAAGTATGAAGACACAGTGAAGTGAAACACATGCAAAATATAAAATTTCATCCTAAAGGCTCATTTCCAACCACCACTAGTGCCACTGCTACTACTGTTGTTCTTTTTTCTACTGCTGCTGCTACTACTACCACCACCACTACTACTACTACTACTACTGGTGCTGTGCTGATTGTGGTAAAGAGTTTGCAATACCAATAGACAGCCTCTAGTTAACAGATGCCCTTAACACCCTTCTCCTCCCCCTCTTCCCTCATTCTCCTTTGCTGGATTATGCCCTCTGGCCTGTTCCCATTATTGAACTGCTGTGAGTGTTAAAGACTCACCTTGGATGGGGGCTCAGCCATTTGGATGGCTGCTACCAACACAGACAAAATGCAGACATATTTATGCCTTTAGTGGAATCTAGTCCCGCAATACCAGTGTTCAGATAGGTGAAGACATTTCACGCCTTAGACCAGATCATTGTGAATGGCCCAGTATACAGTACTCATAAATACAAAATACAGATTTCAAGAAGCACTTATTTAAATAAGCATTTCATAAAATTGATGACAGGAGATGACAAAGAAACTTACTTGGAGATCCACCTATCCATAGAATTAAAACTGGCTGCAACCAGTATGTGCTTCATGCTATCAGTGTTTTCTTACCATAATTTCATGCAGTATACATATTCCCTGTAAAAATAACTGTATTTGGCGTTATGAAAGGGAAATCAAACACTGTACTTTCATTCGAGGCATCTGTCCCCCACCCCAAGATTTTCTTAAATCAAAACAGAAGAAAAGAAGGAAGTGTATAAAATATTAATAAAAATTGAAACTATTTTTAGAATGCTAAAAAAAGTTTTAAATGGCTTAAATGTAGACTTGGCATGTCAAAGTCAGCTCACCTCAGAAGTAAATCCTGGCCCTCAAGGTTCAGAGGTTGTGCACAGGGTTACTAATCCTCCTTCAGAAAACTGTACCTACTTGTAAGGTTTGAAGAAATCAACTTGATGGTCTTGGTAACGAAGATACAGAAAAGATTGCCTTGAAATGTGGATTGGCTCGAAGAAGGATAATTGCTGAAGTAGCCTCTTTGTTATGAGAGGCCAAGAGGAAGAAGGGATTTTGGTAGGCCATGTAGATGGTGGAATTCATATTTATTTATTTACTTCATATCATGGATCATTATACATGATATAGGACAAGTCGAATACTTTACAATAATAAATAATAATAATAATATAATAATATACTAAGATAATACAATGATTATAATAATAGAACTAATATAATTAACATAGGACACCGCTGTACGCCTCAAGACCCGATCCTTCTGTCCCGGCACAAAATACCCTGGTATCCTTGATCTCGTTCCTGTAAGAAAAAACACAGAGTATGGCAGTAGGCATTCCTATAACATTACTAATATTAAAATCTACAAGTTTGTGGGAACTACCCAGATTTAAGCAAATGTGACAACGCAAGTATCATTGCTTAGGAACGGTGAGTAAACAGCGGTTGCTAGGCAAAGCGAGTAAACAGCTGTTGCTAGGCAAAGCCTACAACAGTACGGACAGTAACATGTTTTCTACATGTCTGACTCTAGATTATATAAGAAGATACATTGAGTACCATACATATATGACTATATAACAAAATTATGCAGAAAACAAGCAGAAGTCATACAAAATCATGAAAATAAGAATGTTCGCAACATCAGACAAGGCGAAGCCTGACACAGTAAGTATAAGAGGCGTAAACTTGGTGGCGGTCAGGCATACGACCGTTCAAGTGACTAGGCTGCTGTGGTAGTGAATACTACTAGAAATGGGGCATAATCTGCTGTACTGAGCCTGGATTGACAGAGGCCTTGTATATATTGTACAAAGAAATAGGAATTAAGATTAAATTTATAAATATATGTAAATACTGACAATGGACTTACTAATATGGACTATGACAAATGACAGGCCCGGCCTTTAGTCAGAGGGGGCACCCCAAATGGACAGGACAGTAACTTTCATATAAGGAGAAAAAGAAAATCTGGTCATGAGCCCCAGGCGGGGCTCGAAACCAAGACAGACTGACTGACTGACTGACCGTCAGTTGCAATGTGACTTGGACTTGGAAGTTTACAGTTCTATAATTCTAGTTCAGTGTTCAAGGAGTTCACTACTACTACTACTACTACTACTACTACTATTATTATTATTATTATTATTATTATTCAATTCTTCAAACTCCAGTTTGTCCGTGTATACTGTGCAACTGTAATAAATATTATAGAACAGTTCGACAAGTGATTGTCTCTTCATTTAATGACATCCCACAAGTTAATTATTCTTGAAATACATGTTTACAAATGATTAGAACTAGGAGTTGGATCAGGCCATTGGCCTAATACTTGAACTGAAGGAAGAGAAGAGGCGGCAGATGTTTTGTACACAGAGTTGAACTACAATTAGAATTAGAATTAGAATTAGAATTTATTTATATTTCATCATTACTTAATAGGATTAGGACATGTCTGTAGTGAAATGTCCCTTAGGAAGATTCGTTGACCTTTAACTGATTGCATACGAAGAGAGAGAACTCTAGAAATTATCAGGGCAAATACGTAAAGCAGAGAAAGATGGACGCTATAAAGCTTAATATTAGTAGCGTCGTTAAATAACTAAAAACAAAGGCAACTTAATTTTTGGGTACCATGGCGAAGCGTGACATCTGTAAGTACAAAGTCAAGCACTGGCCGTTGCTGTGCACTTTAACCACCTTAACCACCACGGTTCATCATTTCCACATCAATATTGGCACGCCGCAGCGCGGAGCTACTACCTTCAAAACTATAACTTTGCTGTGCGCTGAATTTTCCATGATTCACACATCACATCTTGCAAGAAATGCAACACGGTTCCGAATAGTTGCGTGTGATCCGTGGTAGGGTCTGTAATCTTTCAATTAACTTCAATGACGGTGGTATGCGATTTATGGGTAGTGATTGTGTTGTACAGTATGTGTTTTACGTTGTAAAATGTGGCTATAATAATGCCAGTTTGTGAGATTACTAAAGAAAGTAATGTGGTATATTGAGATAGCTGATTCAGGCAATTCATTTTAAAGGTGATAAAGGTAATTCTTTTTCTCAAAGACGAAATGTGTTCGATGATTTCTGAAGATTTAGACTAGACTCCAGCCGCTATAAAACGAAAGAGACTCGGGGTTCCTGGGTTTTTGTTTTCCAGATAGCGTTTGGATTACTTTGGAGTAAGTGTTAGTTATGAATATAAACGTTCATAGGTATTTGTTTCTTGGACCACCTGCACTTTATGACTTCCTTTCTTTGTGGGTTAATGCCGTTGTGCCAATATAAGGCTATCTAAAAGAGCTTCGAGATCTGCAAAAAATAGTATTTTTCATACTTTTGTAATACAATACTGCGCATTGAACATGTGTCGTATCCACTTCTTGGAATCGTACCCTTCAAAGAAGATAAAGATATTTGCTTATGAAGTGTTTTAACTTTGCATTGTACTGGCCATAGTTCTCACCAAATCGTTTCATTATCAGGCAAATATTGCAGAGCCCATAAGTATGTCCTGTCGCCTTGTCACACAAAAATACGTACATTTTTCATTCGCAGCTCTAAATATATTCTATAAAAGCAAAAATTAAAAATGCATCACACAAAAATTATAGCTTTATGAACTGCTGAATTGAAAGTGTTCTTAAATAATCAAAGAATAAAAGAAAGATACAGTTTGACAAATTGAAGTCAGTTTTGGGTAGGGATTGTGTTTATTTTATTTATTTATTTATTTCGTCTCTATAGATCATTGTTACATGGTATAGGACAAGTCAGTTACTGTACATTGGCTGATTACAATAAGAGAATAAAGTTACAATACTTAAAATTGTTTACAGTAGATTACAATAGTTAAGATTTCATATAGTGTGAGGTGGAATCCATATTAGGTCCCCTTGTAGTCTAGTTGATAGGTATCATCTGGTGGAGGCAGTAGATTCCCCTAAAATGTTGGTGTCTACCCAGCAGATTATAACACAGTGTCATAACCAAAAACCATGTCATGAATATTCACTGCTATGATAACTTTAAATATTACATAAAAACTTGTAATATACCACACATTGGTTTGAAGACCAGTAGTTTAAATGTGGAGATTTATATGTGGGCTTTTGTTTATACAGTATACATGTTGCAGCATTATGCAATTTGAGGAGCTGGAAGTAGCAGTAGAAAATGAAGCAGTGGCAATAGAGTTTGCAGTGAAGAAAAATTTATTGCCAGAAAAGAAAACCGTTTGTCCAGTCTGTTTCGTTGGCAATGTTGGCTGGTATAAACGCTCCAATGAAGGATTGAAAGTGCCATTTTCATTGAGGTGCTCAAGAAAAAAGTGTCGCAAAAAGTGGTCAGTCACAAAAAATACATGGTTCTTTGGGTCTCATTTAAGTGTACGCCAGAATTTCATGTTAATTTATTTTTGGATTAGAGGTGACAATATTAGTGAATCTGCTGAACAACTAAAATTGAGCAAGACCACTGTTCTGGACTACTATCAGTTTTGTCGTGAAGTATGCTATGTCATTGTGAGTAACAGGACCAAACCTATAGGTGGGCCTGGTCATGTGGTGGCAATAAATGAATTTCATGTTGACAGATTTATTGCTTCTCAGCGGAAACGGGTCTGTTTCCTTGAAGGAGTAGATAGAGACACCAACGATTGTTTTCTGCTTGAAATTCAAAAGAACAATGCTGGGACCCTGATTCCATTAATTAAAACATTTGTTTTACAAGGGTCAAAAATATTGACAGATACTTGGGAATCTTACAGCAAGTTGAAGAGTGAAGAATTTCAGAAAGAGTTCATTGACCATCATCTAGAATTTGTGGAGTCCAGTAACCTGGAAGGGAAAAGTAACAAAGTGAAGTGTATGTGGCGTACTGCAAAACGTTTTGTTGATGAAGCTCAGGAATCAAGGACTCGTGACCTGTGTTTGTTTCAATATCTGTACTTCCATCCGATGGAATTATTGAGTACGGGTGAAAAGTTTGATAGATTTCTGGAAGATGTTGCTAAGGTATACCCTGGCCCATTCAGAAACCCGTTGACAGCTGTTGTATACTAGAGGTAAGCTCTGCTGCCCATTCTGTATATGTTATGAATTTTTTAAGTCTTTGACTGACCACTGAGGCAAGGAAACCTGGCTGTTAGATTTGGAGCGTTCATACCATAAGTGGATAATCTCTGAACATTCTTTGCATTCATTTGCAGGTTTTATTGTGTAGCATTTAAAAGTCATGAAGAAGAATCTTATAGGAAGTGTTTGTACTGGATAGATCTACATGGTTCAAGCCAGCATGAAATATTGGTAGCATTTGGTTGAATTTTTACATGGGTTTTAACATATATGTCAATAAATGCTGAGGAAGTTCTTTGAAGCTGTAACACTTCTGAACTGTGTTTGGAAACTGCCTGCTTTGAATCAAATGGGACATTGACTCTTCTGACTGAAATTCTTGTGATTTTCCTCAGTCCATTAATGGAAATTCCAAGAAAGTACCTTAAATTAACCCAAAGCTGCTGCTTCTATCCCATTTGATTGTTCAACAGCATTAAATGATTTGATGCTATGTAGTCTGAGTTACTGATAGCATTGTTGAGTGAACATAAGTAAAGAAAGGTGAAGAAATTTAATTTGCACTCAGAAGCAGAATCCCTATAGATTATATGTTGTTTCATGGAGTTTTAATTTATTATCATTATTATAATTATTATCATAATTAAGCACTACAGCATGAAGACTTGTGGGGAGTGGATGTATAGATACACATTTTCTTCACCTCAGCAATAGTTACCAATATGTTTGGTGGGAATATAAATTAAAATAACTAATAATAATGATAATGAAACAATATTAGGTAGTTGTATTGATGATTTTGTGGTGTGTTGTATGTCATCCACCGCTGAGCAATGAAACAATGGAAATTGTTTGAGACCATTGCTTAGGAGTATCTGTAGCAATGAGTGTTCATTGCATAACAATGCTCGGTAAACACCCCTCCCTGCTAGGCTGTGGTGTCATGCAACAGGGTGGTCCGTGCAGTGACTGTTCCTAGGCAATCAGTAAACATGTTTTCTGTGTGGTCAGGACGGAAGCTACATGATGAGAGTACTCGTTAGTGTCGTAGGAGGTAATGAAAAGGGAAGGCTCAAATCTGAGACAGTAAAATATGGTCGCGAGTCCCAAGGGACTGAGGCTCTAGAAAGACTGCACTTGCAAGGCCCAGCAGCTTATACAAAAGGTAGACCCGACCTCTCGTCAGAGAGGACGTCCCACAAAAACGACCGTAAATGCCGAACATGGGGCTTGACACCAAGACTTACTGACTGATTGGCTGCCAGTTGCAATGTGACTTGGACTTGTCAATTCAGGGCGCCCACAAAAAACAAGACCGTAACTGTCAAAAAGTAATAAATATCTGGTCATGAGCTCCAGGAGGGTGCTCGACACCAAGACTTACTGACTGACTGGCCATCAGTCACAGTGTGACTTTGACTTTGACCTGTCGATTCAGTATTCAGTTGAAGTCTAGCAGTATGAGTTGCTGAGTTGTATTGACTGAATGGAATCAAGGCAGTTGAAGCCTGGAAGTGACTATAGCAGTAGAAGTAATTGGAACAATGAAATTGTGAACTGTATAAGTGTAAGAGCGAATATGCAAATAAATTTGCTAGATCCAAGACCGGTGTGAAGTTATTTGTCGTGTCACATATGGCCAGCACGTGACAATATTATAGAATTTTATACATTTGGAAGGTTATATTATATGCATCAGTTTGAAATATATGTGGCTGTTGACCAAAGGATTTATCTAGTAAAACCAGTCTTTTATTATTTAGTTTGAAATTATAATACATTAGGCATAGTAGTGTCAACACCAGGCCTGTATTAGTACATTGTGCTCCCAATGCTGTAAGTTTTTAAAATCAATGAATTTGTCCATTTTGTAGAACAGACACTGACTGCTTGTGCCAGAGTGTTTCCTGTGGTGTTATTGGAAAATTATTGTTACATAGATCCTGAAATGTTTTTGAGAGCTGTGGTCAGTACTTATTTTCTTGAATACAGTTGTAACAGGGTGTAAATTAAAATTCCAGAAATATGTAGATAATGTGTGAAAGGTAGTGGCACATGGCATGATTATGGTGAGTGGGTGACCATATTTTGAGATCCCTGGTGACAAGTACCGTATTTACGCATGTATAGGCCGCGTGCGTGTATAGGCCGCAGCACAATTTTCAGACAGAAATTATAGAAAAAATAATTTTCTTGGAATATTATTTCAGGAGTATTACACCCTGTATTACTAATTATGAATATAATTTTTTTTAAATGAAGTGTGATTTCGAATATTTCGAATATAATCCGCACCCCAGTTTTCCTCTTGAATTTTTGGCAAAAAATGTGCGGCCTATACATGCGTAAATACGGTAATGTATGTTGTTGGTGCACTCATGAATCCACCATGACTATTTTCACAACTGTTTGCCATACATGTCACTACACAGTTAAGTATAGGTTACCAGCATTCATTCTGCTTCGTGTAACCAAATGGGGCAAACTTCATATTGACATAGTTCCAGAGGATCAGGTTTTAGATGATTTTCAATCATAGTTTTTCCCTAAGTACACCCTAAAAATGAGTGTTACTTTTTTTTTAATTTTTTTTTTTTTTCAAATGAAAGCTCAGTAAATGTGTAATAAATGTGCAACTAAGAGGTTTTGTAACTATTTCCAGTGTGCTTAAAATATTATATTACTACTGTCCGCCATGGCCACTGCAAATAATGTTCCTGTTTCTGAAATACTTCGAAACAAAAGTCAGTTTGAAGAAGACGAACCTAAAAAGAAGTCCCGAGAAGACTGGAGGAAAGCGAAAGAACTTGAAGAAGCACGAAAGGTATTGTAGTCTAATGAAATCTGCTGACTAAAAACACAAAACTGATCATTTCTTACTATACACTGTATCCAAAAAATAATGGTGGTGTGTTGGGAGGCTCTGTCTCCAAATAAACAAAAGGCATATGTCCGATTGTTATACCTCTGAATTCCTTCACTGATACAGTTTCACAAGCAGCCACAATTATTAGCCAGCAAGACGGTACACTGATGCATTTGTCAGGACATATCATGGAAGTTCTTAATGGAAGATGTATTGGCAGGGGTGGTTCAGTTCTGTGGCCAGTTAGAAGCCCTGGATTGACAGTGCTCAGTGTTTTCTTTTGGGGATACGTAAAGAACTGGATTAATATGGATACAATTTGAGATCTGCATAATAATTTGAAAGTGAGAATAAGAGAAGCTGCAGAGCAGGTAACGAGAGATACGCTACAGTGTATATGGTAAGAAGTGGAAATTGGATTGAACATACATGGGGTCACAAATGGTACACATGTGGAATTGTACTAATTATTCTCAGTACTATTTGAGGTACACTTTAAAATAAAATATTAATTTCTTGAATATATTTCTCATTTTCCTAAATATTGGCTCTTGAAACCCCACCATTATTTTTAGACACTGTGTTGATCGCCATTAACTATGTACCATCTGATATGATAATGGCTTTTAGGTATTTTTTCTACTTGCATATAATGTGAAAATTGAAAATGTTCAGACTCTCCTTTCTCTCTATTGTGATATTTTTATCTTCAGAATCTTTTGACCTGTTAGTCGTGGTGGTGGTCAATGTTACACCTCAGGGGGAGGGGGTGAGGACTTATAAATACTTTCGTCGGTTAGTACTCTTTTT